AGCTCAGAGCCTGGAGCCTGTTTCAGTCTGTGACTCCCTCTCTCTCTGACCCTCCCCTGCTCACGCTGTCTCTCTCTCTCTCTCTCTCCTAGAAATAAATAAAACATTAAAAAAAATTTAAAAAAAATAAATAAATAAACATTAAAACCAACTTGATGATAAACTATGAAAGAAAAAAAATAATACAGTGCAATTTGACAAAAAAATCCTAAGCCAAGCACAATGGGGACAATGTCTTTTAAAAAATGCAATAATAGCAACAAACACAGTCCAAGTATAAAATAATAAGATTACATTGACAAATAAGAAATCTGATCTTATTTGTTTACACATGATTCATACAAATGTAATGAGTAAGAAGACAGCTTTCTTGCCTAAAATTACATACATAACAAATGTTATAGAAAAATTCAAAGACAGATATGACAAGTGAAAAAATTCATAGAAACTGCAACATCCAGAAACAAACATTACTATTTTAGCATTCATTCTTCCAAATATTGCCCATAGTAATATGCCAGTGGTGTATGTACTATTACCAGCTTCTTATACAGTTCACCACACACAGCCAAATGGAAGAGGGTCCTAGTGGGTGGGGGATTGGAAAGGGACAGAGTTTCCATGCCCTCTTCTGACACACCATCTTCCTGGTACCTCGATGTGTTCACCAACACAGAACCTCCCCAAATAACCTTGCTCAACTTTTTAATAGTGCTTAATCTCTATCCTCCTCTGCCCTCCCCAGAGTACAGTAAATGGGGCTAAGGTTTCTAGTCCTCCACTCATGTGGTCTTTCTGATAACCAGCCATGTTCTGAGACTAACTAGGGTCCTCACCCTAAGTCACTTTACTAGGATAAACTCAAGGTAAGAGACACCCCTATCAATCAGGAAATTCCAAGGGTTTTAGGAGCTCTGTGCCAGGAACAGGGACAAAGAGAAAATATTTCCTATATATGTCTACAAGACACATATATCCACAAGGTGAAAGAGCCAGATGCAACAACAGAGTAAAAACATTTTAATACCTGTATCTCAGTAATAAATAGGACAAGTAGAAAAAGAAATGTGTAAGTAAAATGAAGATCTGATATAATTGATAACAGATACATAGATAATAGATACATGTAGAGACAAATGCACCCAAAGCTGCAGAATACGTTTTTACTTTTGCTTTCATCTCTATAAACACATTGGAAAGAAATAACTGAACCATTGCCAGATACACATTTATAGTGATTCCATCACTGGAGAAGAGAAAATGGGAAATATTTGTGGGGCATATACTATATACAAACTACTGGTCTTTAACAATTACAAGTCTATTTAATGGGCATTTTGATCTCCATTTTAAAGAATAGGAAAGAGAGATTCAGAGACATGAAATTCTTATCTCATTCAAAAGGGAGTAGTTCACTGTGTTATGTTTGGTTAAATTAACAGCTGTGAAGATACCTCTGGGTAGCAAAAGGTTAGCCATTCCAGGTAACATATATCCCAGGTATGTATATATATATGTATATATATATATATATATACATATATATATACATATATATATACATATACATATATATTCCTAACAAGTTCTTCACTGCCTTAAACTGAAAATGTACAAGTATTTTCTCACAAGTAACTCATAGGCCAATTTAAGACTCCCACCCCAACCTCAATCTGAGCATTCCACTTTTATCCACTCTGTATTTTATCTCTGCATGTGTATTGCAAAAAGAAAAAAAAGAAGAAGAAAGAAAATTACTGCTTACTATCTTTAGCCAATAGTCCACAAATGGGCTAATTACAACCTGACTAGCGATGTTTAGAAAATGTGACTTTTTTTCAGGACCATTGTGGCTCACAAATGGTTCCACCTCAGCTCTTTATCCATAGTCAAGTACAGCTATGCCCACTCTTGGGGAACACATAGCCTTCCTCCTCTCTGCACCTAGAGCTCCCTTCCTCCTCCCAACTCCTAACCCAAACTAGTCTCTCTGGACCCTCATCCCTTAACCATATGTTCAGAACTTGGTCCCAAAATTGTCAACAAAGGACATTCATTAGCCTGTTCCAGTCAAGGATCCCAGGGGCAACTTGTGCTTCTTCATTCAGTTGCTTCCCCAGTGCACGCTCTCAAGAGAGTGAATATAATCTGTGTCACTCTAAGTAAAGTATAAATCTGGGGTGGGAGGGGAACTTCATAATCTGCCTTTTGACATCATCAACCTCACTTCATCCAGAACAGAAAAAATCAACAACTTCATTTCATCCAGAACTACTCTGCTCCTCATCCTTCTTTTTACCTCCTATTTATTGGTCCACTCCAAGAAACTCCAAAAACTCTGATTCTGCTCCTGTCTGAATTAGTGGAAGAACAGAAACAGGTAAATACCAACTATACTGATAAGGGACAACAGAAGACTATTTCTACATGAGAAGCCCTGGAAGTTATTTCTATGAAATGCAGGATAAGACTTGGTGGCAAACAATGTAGAAAATGCAAAAATAAAAAAAAAGAAAAGAAAAAAATATATATAAATTTTTAATTATGTGGCCTTACAATCTTTATTTACCTCTAAGAATGGTTAAGACTAAAATCCTACTATGACTAATATGATAGTCAAGTGAGGAAGTATGTTCCCTGTTTAAAACTTCATTGATTTTACTTCTCTGTGGCTGTGAAGCCTGACCTGATACAAATGTGAACACTCATCCACTCCCTGAAGATTCCACATTGGTAACCAGGATGGCAAAGGCATCCAGAACATTATGTAACTTCTCTTGATCCCTGATTCCAACTGTGGAGTGCAAGCCATTAGTAGGTTGGAATCAATTTAATGGGTTGCAACCAGCATTTGAAATAAAAATGTTTTAAATAGAATATAACAAAAAATATCATATTGTATCCCATGTAGAAAGAATTGTTCTGTAAAACTATTACTTAGGTTAGATATAAATGTATGCCAGAAAATGATATAAAATTTAGGATGCATTCCAGTCAAAAATTCTTGAAGGCTACTACTTTATAAATATTTATAACAACACACAGAAAAATTCTTGAATAAATCAGTAAAGACACTCCTACGTAATGTGACTCTTTAACCACATGAGTTCACAAATGAGTAGAGACATGAAATGCTCTTGAAGTGCTTAAATATAGAGTCTCCTAGAAACCCGGGGGCTCCTGGGTGGCTTAGTCGGTTAAGCATCTGACTTTGGCTCAGGTCATGATCTCACAGTTCTGGGTTCCAGCCCTGTGTCAGTCTCTGTGCTGGCAGCTCAAAGCCTGGAGTCTCCTTCTGATTCTGCTTTCTCTCTCTCTGCCCCTACCTGCCTCACACTCTGTCACTCTCTCTCTCTCTCAAAAATAAATAAACATTAAAAAAAAAAAAAAGAGGGGTGCCTGGGTGGCTCAGTTGGTTAAGTGTCCGACTTCAGCTAAGGTCATGATCTCACGGTTTGTGTGTTCCAGCCTTGCATCAGGCTATATGCTGAAAGCTCAGAGCCTGGAGCCTCCTTCAGATTCTGTGTCTCCCTCTCTCTTTGCCCCTGCTTAACCGACTAAGCCACCCAGGCGCCCCCATTCCACAAACTTTCTGAACATCACCTGTGAGGAAGAGATTTGCCTCATGTTGGCACTGGAAAGAGTACCATGTGGGGAAATAATGGCAAGAACTTTTCTATACAGGGCAAATGAGACTGGAAAGGATCCAATATAATTCAAATGGGCCACTGGTCTGGGTCGTCATCAGAGGAAAAGTTCACTGTCCATCACCCTTTGTTCTCTTCACATTTCACCTGCCCATTTTAGAGCATCTCTTCCTTTCTCACCTTTTATTATTATCACTTTTTTACCTTAAGACTCAAAATTTTTCAACAATGAAAAATAAAACCATGTTGACTGAATTTATCTTGCTGGGTCTAACAGATGTCCCTGAACTTAAGGTGGTGGTTTTCACTTTTCTGTTCCTCACCTATTTACTCAGCATCATAGGAAATCTGATTATCCTCATTCTCACCTTGCTGGACTCCCACCTTCAGACTCCCATGTATTTCTTTCTCCGGAACTTCTCTGTCTTAGAAATGTCCTTCACAAACATCTTCACTCCCAGGGTCCTGATCAGCATCACAACCGGGAATAAGAGTATCAGTTTTGCTGGCTGCTTAACTCAGTATTTCTTTGCAATATTTCTTGGGGCAACAGAGTTTTATCTTCTGGCCGCCATGTCCTATGATCGTTATGTGGCCATATGCAAACCCCTGCATTACATGACCATTATGAGCAGCAGAGTCTGCATCCAGCTGGTTCTCTACTCTTGGCTGGCTGGGTTATTGACTATTATACCACTAATCTCTCTGATGAGTCAACAGGACTTTTGTGCATCTAACAGGCTGAATCATTATTTCTGTGACTATGAGCCCCTTCGGAAACTCTCCTGTTCAGACACAAGTCTCATTGAGAAGGTTTCCTTTCTTTTGGCATCTGTGACACTAGTGGTCACTCTTCTGTTAGTGATTCTCTCCTATATGTTCATCATCAAGACTATTCTGAAGCTCCCCTCTTCCCAGCAAAGGACAAAAGCCTTTTCCACTTGTTCTTCCCATATGATCGTCATCTCTCTCTCTTATGGAAGCTGCTTCTTCACATACGTTAAGCCCTCAGCAAAAGAAAAGAACACTTTTAACAAGGGAGTAGCTCTACTGATTACTACCATCGCACCTTTGTTGAACCCCTTCATTTATACCCTAAGGAACCAACAGGTAAAGCAAGCCTTCAAGGATATCGTCAAAAAGCTTGTGAATCTTTAAATAATTTCAAAATTGAAGCTTTAATGGATGAGTCCTCACTGTGCAGCAAGCCCTCTTCCAATTTACTACATATCAAGGAAGAGTTAAATTCCAGGCCAGTGAGAGAGACCTGGAAGTAAACAAATTACAACCTGTTAGGTGTTCATAGGAAGAAACTATTAAAGCTATCTTATAGATTAAAAAGTAGCCCAATCTTAGAGTCAATAAATGTTTTCAGAGGGGATGCCATTTAAAATGGGTCTTAACAAGCAGGAGTAAGTCAAACAAGCAAAAATAGGCAAAGAGAAATTTGGGTAGGAAAAATCTTGTTTTTAGGAGCACAGAATTTCAATATAAAAGGATCAAGTAAATGTCATTCATTTCAATGATATAAAAAGAAGAGGAAAAAAGTTTGTGAAGATGATAGCTTTAGTTTTGAATTAAGTTAAATCTCATTTTGCATGAATTAAATGACCTAGTGTCAAAGCATCTGGACTTGAAACCAGATCTATGAATTTAGCAATCCTTACCATGTGGTAAGGTAATACCACATAAATAAATTATGGTAATACCATAATCATTGATGTAGGACTAGTGGAAGTATAGAAGAATAGAAGCAAATATAGAAGTTCAAATATTAAACTCTAAAGAAACTCCCAAAATTTAAAGAGCAGAAGAGGCAGGGGGATGAAAAGGCAATGGATCTGCGGAATTCATGAGAAGAGAATGTCTCAAGAAACACAGGTGGTTGGCAACTGAAATGTCTCAGAGAGCAATTAATATGAAGAATCAAAGTATGAGGGTTGACAGAATATTGTTGATATCAGCCATTTTCAGCAAATGTGCAAACTGCGGGTGGGGTAGGAAGAAATCAGACTATAGCAGGATACTGGTGATGGGAGCTGAAAATGAAGAAAATAATAAAATAGAATTTCAGGAGTGGAAAATGAAAAGATGAATAAACTCCATGTTCTCTATGGTTTCTCATTACTAGTGTCTGTGCTTTCTCATTTCTAGTATATCACAGTAATGGTTATATATTTAAAGTCTGTTTCACCTCTAGTCTGTAAGGTTCAGCAGTGCAGGGATAATATCTTCTTGGTCACAATTCTCTCTGCATTGCCAAGCAATGGTAGGTCCTCAACAATCAGTTGAAAGGATGAATAAATAATCTTTTGATAGATGGAAGGATGGGCAAATGAATGAGGGAGCCCAGAACTGATTTTTCTAAGTGAAGGTCCTTGATCATTTGAGAGTCTGCATTCTGAAAGCAATGAATTAGCGAGGTAAGCCTCATATGGATTTATTAGATTTGCCTAGAAATTCCACTCCATTTTACATATAAGAACTGGAAGCTGTAAAAAGGCAAAATAACTTGTACAAGGTCACACAGCTGAGTGCCTGAACCAGATTTAGAAGCCAATTCTGCCTGATTCTGTCAGAGTCCAGCTGCCTAACTACTGAGCAATACAACATCCCACCATTCAAACTGCTTTTAAGGTTTGCTCTTAAGTGTAAGTATATTAAGTAGCCTTGGCTTTCCATCTGTTTCCCACTTTTTCCAAGCTCTCAACAAGCTTTCGTTAGAAGTCTGTAGGATATGAATCTCTTTAGGAAGTTGAAAACATACAAAAAGCCCATATCAGTCCACCTGTGGCTCCCAACTTCTCTCAAGAAGCTTCTCTTTTCCGTGCCCATATATCTTCTCAACAATGTAGGTCTACTTTTTTCTCTTTAAAAGGAAATGGGCCCAAGATCATGGTATCTGAGAAAGCAGTATATTTTTCCTTCACCCTTATCCCCAGTAAGCTTCCAACAAGGATTCAATTATGACCAAGGAGGCTTGTAGCAGCTACTAAGTATACTCCCTTCTCCCTATTCATCTTCTATCCCAGCTATGGGTAATGGCTTCGATTCCTGGGCTTGAGGGCAAAAATAATGGCTTTTGTAGAATAGAACACAATGTCATGTCCATAATAGGCACTCAATAAATGTTCAATTAGTAAAAGAATAAAGAATGGATGAGTAATGTCTTTATTACATAAATTTCAAGTCATTTTCATAAGCTTTTCCATCACCTACTTGGTGTTTAAAGGGCCAAAGTCTTTCTCTTCTGAACATTTTCAAGCATATTTTGAACCACATGGCTATCTATTTCTTTGTAGAGACAGCCATAAATAAATCCTCTGTTAATGTTACCTTACTTGACATTATTCTAAGAGCTATTTTATCTTTTTCTCAGGTATATCCATAGGTAAATAAATTAAAAGCAGAACCAGATTTTCACAAAGGCACTCTAAGCATATTTTCAGAAGTCTAAGAGATACATATAGCCTTTTTAGAAAGACGTATTCCTCATCATTTATCTTTTAATAATTACAAAGGATTAAATTATTTGACTTTAAGTCTTTCATCCCATTAAAATGCAATTAAGAGAGGCGGTGTACTGGTGCACTGTAGTAGCAAACATCCCCAAATCTCAGTGGCTTAAGTAACAAAAGTTTATAATCTCTCATACTATATATCCAATGTGGATCAGCAGTGAACTCTGCTTGTGTGCTCTTCCCACATCTGCTTATTAAGCTGCCATCTCTAAGTGCTATACTTTAAGGATCACAATAGGAAACACAAAGAGACACAGAATGTCTCAAACCTGCAATTACATGCTCCACTCAAAATCCACTGGTTAAAACAAATTAACAATTACAAAGTATCCAAGAAGTTTGATCTCACACACCTGAAGGGACAAGAGACCATAAGAACTTGTGTGCAAAGGTGAGAACACTCCATATGCTAGGATATGTGACATACTTTCCAAATGGCAGCCAAGTTGAAACAGGATTTTTTTTTTTTTTTACAAATAGTTTATTGTCAAATTAGTTTCTACATAACACTCAGTGCTCATCCCCAAAGTGCCCTCCTCCATGCCCATCCCCCCCTCCCCCCCACATCCATCAGTCCTCAGTTTTTGTCAGCATTCAAGAGTTGAAACAGGATTGGCTACAGAAATCTGGCAGAGCTAACTGCTGCTTTGAAAGTCGGAATGAGACAGAATGAGGAAAACAGCTCCTTGAGGTTTGATCTTTTTAAAATATAAATCTTATGTCATTTTCTTTCCTAAAACCCTCTGATGGCTTCTCATTACTTAAATTCCAAACTCCTTACTATAACTTCCAAAGGCATTACATGAACTGACTCTAGCCACCCTGCCCACTGACTAAGAAACCAAGCCCTGAAGAAGTTATAATTGGAATTGATATTCCTTCCCCAAAGAGAACTTCAGGACTATTTGCATCATGTTATTACTCCTTGTCTACCTTAACCAACACCAGAATTATAAGCTGTCTATCACCCTTCATTACCCCCAAGTGATCTGTCATTTTTTAAATCCCCTAGATCCTCAACTTCTCTTCTGAAAATTCTCTTCACATTAGTCCTTCTCTAACTGAAACCTCCTATCCTTTGAAAACCTGCTTCCTATGTAGTTCCCTCAGGTAGTGGCTGTTTTCACTCCACATATTTCTGATGCTGGAGATGGAGTATGTGCCTTGCTTGCTCCCCATTGCCTCTTACAGATCATTGCCTCCCTTCTCCTCAAAAATTGTAGCTCCCTTAAAACACATGCCATCAGATTATACCATTCCTTGTTCAGTTACCCCCTAAAGTGCCCTTTGTTCACTGAAATGTTAGCAAATGACTTACTTCCACTCTACCATTAAACTGGTTATCTTTCTTGGTGACTTGAATAACTACATACATGAGCCAAACAACACTCTGGCCTCTTGATTTTTGACATCATCACTTCACCCAGTGGCCTTATTAACCACCCACTCCCACATTCTTACCCTAGACTTTGTCATTTACTGTAACTACACTACCTCTAAAACCTCAATTCCAAGCTACCTAGCATGACCATAACTTCCCAAATTACTCCCTCTTTCTTCCCTTCTTTCCAAAATTTCTTCAACCCAAAATGGCTTCCCAATGATTCTACTATCATTCATTATTTGACACCCTTAACTCCTTCTCTGGCTTGGATGCTATCATTCACAACCAGTCAAATGGTCCTTTGCATGCCCCTTCAGCTCTCTTTCCTCTCTCTCCCTTCCATTTCCATTATTCTTTATAGAAAAACTTCTCAGAAGGTTGGGATATTCACTATCTACTTCTTCACATTCTTTTTCAAACCCAGTCTAAACAGGCTTCTGCCATCACACCAATGAAACTTCTCTTGTCAGGGTCAACCACAACCTCAATGTTGCCAAGCCCACTGGTTGCCAAACCCATTTCATTTAACATAACAATAGCAGTATACAGTATATCTCCCTTCCTTCTTGAATCACTTTCTTTCCTGGGGTTCTGAGATATCACTCTCTGTTTTTCTTTCTACTTTCACTGCTTACTGCTTCTCAAACTTCTTTGCAGTTTTTACAAGTTATTGGCTTTGGAGCTGTAAAAGTGAGACTACAAGTTAAAATACTATTAGAGGGGTGCCCAGGTGGCTCAGTTGGTTAAGCGTCCTACTCTTGATTTCAGCTCAGGTCATAATCTCACAGTCATGAGATCGAGCCCTGTGTCAGAGTCCATGCTCAGCTTGGGATTCTCTCTCCCTGTGCCCCTCTCCCCCACTTGTACTCTCTCAATCTCTTAAAATAAATATGTAAACATTTTAAAAAAATAATCTGCTGTAAGAAATTGAAAATCCCCATGGTCTAGAATCTTTTGCCATATTACTAATCCAATGGTAAGTCCTCATCTCAAATTACCTACCAGCAACATTTGACATAACCAATAACTTTCTCTTTTATAAACTTGCCTCCCAAGATGCACAATGCTCTTAGTTTTCCTCCTACCTCACTGATTGTACTTCTTAGTCTCCTTTACTGGTTCCATCTCTTCTCCATAATCTCTTAAAGTTGAAGTGCACATCCGAAGGTTCAGCTCTTGTTCCTCTTCTCTAGCAACATTCACTTGAGAATGACAGCAGCAAAATGGTGGTACAGGAAAACCTAAGGTTCATC